ACTAATGTTTCCACCAAAAGTTTTCTGCTTGCCTTCGAAAACTGCAGTCGCCCATGACCTCCAGCCGCCCTTGCCTGTGCCTGTACCTCCTCCTCTTCTCCTCCACCTCCTCCTCCTCCTCCTCCTCCTCCTCCTCCTCCCTCCTACTTCCGTAGCCATGTTGGCTCTTGCCTTTCCGTAACCCCACGGTCCTGGACGCCTCCTGGGCTTACCCTGCGACCCCAACCCGTCGTCTTGTCGGGGCAACGTGGCGGGCGTGAAGGAGGGGGGAGCGGGGCGCGCGTAGGGCTCACGAGGATGATGGCACGGGCGGGGTTGCTGGATGGCGATCCCGGAGGCTGGCAGCAGCGTCGATCGCGGGCCGAGCGCACGGCCGCGCGGCGGCGGGCGCTGAGAGCTGCCGACAACGGCCTGGCGGCGGCCCAGGACCGAGCGCGATGCGGCGCTGGGCGAGCTGCGTTGCGTGCAGTGCGGGTGTACTTCGAGGCCGTCGTCGGAGACTCGGAGCTCGCAGACAGTATCACCGCCCGCGCGCATGCCCTGAGCGCCCTGCTGCGCGGAGAGGCACCTTCGGCCGCGGAGGTGCTTCGGCGCAACTGGCGCGTCACGCGGATGCTCCCAAGGGGGTGTCAGTCGCCAAGGCGCCCTGCGAGGACCTGTGCCGCTTGCAGGAGAGCGAGCCTCTGGAGGCCCGCCAATTTGCGAAGACCGACTGCTTAGATGAGGTGGCGGATGCGACCCGGCCGGGCAACGGCAACATGTGCACCGTGGAGGTCTGCGTGGCGCAACAGCGCACGAGCAGACCTGCGGCAAGGGCTGGACCGTGTGGTTCGAGGATCGTCGGCCCGACCGCCTGGTGCACCACTGCCCCGCTAGTCTTGATGGGTGCTGGCGCCCACCACGTCCATGGGGGGAAGTGCGACGTCGACGCGCTGAGCGGCCTGCTGCCAAGGGCGCCGCTGCAGACACCCCCCCGTGGACGACGAGAGCAAGAGCGGCGGGCAGGAACAAGAGGAGGAGCAGGAGTTCGTCGAGCAGGACTCTGGCGCATCCTCCGCCCACGGAGCCACCCCGAAGGTGCCGGAGAGGACCGAGGCGGCGCTGGCGCAGGAGAAGCTGCCACCCCTCGCGAAGGAGGGCGTCGGGCAGGCGGACTCCGGGGGTGAGCCCGCGAGCGGCGGGCAGGAGCAGCAGGAGGACGAGGAGCTCGCGGAGCAGGATCCTTGATCCTCCTCCAGCGGCAGCGTGCAGGTGCCGACGGTGGACGCAGCGGCCGCAGGCTGCTGCTGTGCCCCCCCCTGGCCGAGCCAGGCGCGAAGCGCCTCGGTGCCGAGCTTGCCGGGGCTGCCATGCAGGCGACCCGCCTGGCCCGCGCGGCCGCTGCAGCCGACCAGGTGAGCAGTGGCCCGGTGCAGCCAGCGCCCCCCCCGCCGCCATCTCGGCCACACGACCGCGGAGGAGGCGATGCCCGCCGAGTGCGCCGAGCTGGTGCACGACGTGCCGCGCTGGCGTGCCGTGATCGAGGCCGTCCGAGGCCAGGCGGTGGGGGCGGCGCTGCCAGGCGGTTCACGACGGTCCTGCACGCATCCCCGCGGGATGCGCCATTCGGCGCTGTGCTGGTGCCAGCGGCGCCTCGATGAGCAAATCGAGGGAGCAGAGCGGCGGCCGGCCAGCTGCATGCTGGCGGCCACGGCGCCGCCGATGCGGCCGAGCACCCGCGTTCTCACGCGCGTGCGAGGCCATTGCAGAGATGACAGACGGGAAGCCACACGTCAGCGGCAGCATGCCCGTCGGCTCGCGCCCTTCATCGAGGAGAGCGACAGTGACGAGAGCATCGACGTGTGCAGTCGAGGCGTTGACCTAAGGAACCCTAAATAAGGAACGAGGCCCCTATTTTCCATAAGTTAAACTTCGATTTCGTATCGAAAACCTAAGGGAAATCTAAGGCAAGCTGCGAAACAATTAAGGAACGCGGAGCCCCTCCACAACGAAAAGGGTTCCTTCTTCAGGGCCCCGACTGTACGAGGCCCTACAACATCAGGAGGCCGCCTGCCAAGTCAACGGCGAGAGGATCGTGGTCTGCTCATGAGGTGGCCGCGACCAGCAGCGGGGCACGGCGTCCCCTGCACCCTTGTCCCTTGTCCTCCTCCCTCCTACGTAAATGAAAGCCTGAGGCAAACTGTGAAACACTTAAGGAACGCGGAGCCCCTCCCCAACGAAAAGGGTTCCTGCTTCAAGGCCCCGACTGTACTCCTCCTCTGACGGGAAGCGATAGGGAGAACCAGCTCAGGGGGAAGGAACATCGACCTGGAATCGGCGATACACACCGCCGATAGATCGGCGATGGGCCCCCGAGAGCGAAAACGCACGGTCCTGAGGGGGGCTATCGGGCTATCGGGTTGTTGGGCCCCTATCGGCGATCGATGGGTGATTGGGGATCGATGCTTCCCTCCTTGATCCTTGATCCTGCCTCCGGGCATCCAGAGCCAAATCAACACTCACAATCAGGACCACATTTGAAACCCACTCGAAGTCAGAGAGGGACCGGATCCGAACCTGACTCGCCCCTTTTCAAAGTATAGACGAGAAGAGCGAGGAGGAGGACGAGGCACATACAGGAAGTGCGAGGAGGAGCAGGTGGAAGAACCACATGCGGTCCTCATGCAATATGCAAGCAAGACGCATCTCGCTGTCGCCGCCCACGGCTCCCGTGCACAGACATCGAAACCCCCTTCCCACGCATCTGGCGCCGGCCGTCTGAGGACTGAGGTGCCCACGCCCGCGTCGACGCCCGCGCGGGCGCCTCCCCGGCCGGCGCGGTCGTCGGCGCCTCCGTGGGCGCCGCCGTGGGCGCCGGCGTGGGGGGCGCCAGCGTGGGGGGAGCCGGCGTGGGCGCCGGCGCGGGCGCCGGCGTGGGCGCCGGCGTGGGCGCCAGCGTGGGCGCCGGCGTGGGCAGCGCGGTGTGCCTCGATGGTGCGTCGGGCGCCGTCGCCTCCGTCGTTGGTACTCGCCGAGGCGGATGCTGCGAGGGCATTGGGTAAAGAACTTTTGAATAAGGAGTTCAGGGTATGGCAGCCTGTGGAGCTCCATTCGCGGATGGGCCACGGGATTCGCCACCGCCCTCATCAGATAAGGAGCCACTCAGGATCTGAAGCCTCCTGGGCACATTCCTTAACGAACGCCCCCATCGACCGAGCACAGGTTCTCTTAATAGGGGAATCAGATACTGAGTTGTAAAATCAATCAACCACGCAAGTTGACATGTATTCTACGTAATGTTTTCTACGTCGTGCTTTCTACGTAGTGCCGTAATGTTTTCTACGTTGTGTTTTCTTCCTCTATTAGGCGCTCTTTGGGCCGCTCTGTGAGACGCTCTTTTGAGCCGCTCTGTTAAACGCTCTGGGAGCCGCCCTGTTAGACTCTCTATGAGCCGCTCTACTGGGCGCTCTGGGAGCCGTTTTATGAGCCGCTCGATTCGGCTCTGTACTAGGCGCTGTGCTAGGCGCTCGATTAAGCGTTGTACCATGCGATGTGCTAGGCGCTCTATGAAGCGCTGTACGAAGCGGTTTAAAACTGAAAATCCAGACGCGGAGCTCGAAAACCGAACCCCGGAGTCAGAAAATCCCAGACAATCGAACCCGAAAGCCAGCTCGAAACGAGGAAACAAGAAAATTGGAAATCCGAAGCCAGAAAATCGAAACCCGAAAGACGGCCCGAAATGGGGAACCCCCAAAAAAATGAAAATCCGAAACCAAACCAGAAAATCGAAACTGGACAGGCAGCCCGAAACGCGGAACCCCAAACATCGGAAATCCGAAGCCAAATCAGAGAAGCCCGAAAGCTGGCCCGAAACGCGGAATCCAAAAGCCGGAACTCCGAAGCTAGAAATCCGAAGCCCAAAAGCCGGCCCGAAACGAGGAGCCCGAAAACCGGAAATCCGAAGCCAGAAACCCGAAGCCCGAAAGCCGGGCCCGAATCGCGGAACGCACCTACGCAGTGTTTTCTACAAAGTGTTGTCTACGTTGAGATTTCTACGCAGTGCTTTCTACGTGGTGTTTGACGCTTCGAGTTCTTGCAGCCGCCTTTTAAAGTGTCGTTCTTGGAGGCGCTCGCTTTCGCTTGTTGCGGAGTGAACGTGATGGGAGGTGTTCACAAAGCCCAAACGCAACGTGTTCCGCGCAGTGTTTTCTACGCAGTGTTTTCTAAGCAGTGTTTTCTGCGTGGTGTTTGACGCTTCGTGTTATGGCAAGCGCCATAAAGTGTCGTTACTGGAGGCGCGCTTGTGGTAGAGATGACGTGATAAGAGGTGTTGGCAAAACCCAAAACGCAGCGTGATCGACGCAGCGTTTTCTACACAGTGTTTTCTACGCAGTGCTGTCTACGCAGTGACTTCTACGCAGCATGTTAAACGCAGTGTGTTATGCGTGGTGTTTGACGCTTCATGTTCTAAGCAAGTGCCTTCAAACCATCGTTCAGCAAGAAAAGGAACATATGTTTTCCGCTTGAGCCATAGAGTGTCACGGATCGATCTCTCTGTAGTCTCTGAGCTGGGACAACCATAGGAATGAAACAAAAAGCTAGACCGATACCCGAGAATATCCGATCCTGGAACACTGGTCAAACACTATCTAGGTTTAGCTGCCCCTGAAACAGAGAACATTCAACACCCGCGTCTGATGTATGGCAAAGGAGATCGGGCCTGTCCCCGCCGGCCTGGTCTGGAAAACTGGGTCTGAAATGTGAAGAGACACAGGCAGTCAAACCATTGAAGAAGAGAAAGAGGAAGCACTGGCAGGAGGATCGGAAGGGGGGGAGAGAGGACGGAAGAACCACCAACCACCGCACCGAGATCAGACCAGAGGAGTGACGACGTCCTGGCTCGTGAACTCGGTCCAGGTCATCCGGGCTGGCCCCGATAGCACCCGACAACCTGCCGACTGGGAACGCTCTTTCGAGTCCTGGCAAGTCCCTCCCACGAGCCACCTCGGCCCCTCCGTCGA